ATCATTATGCCCAAATTCAAGGTCAGTTGCCCTACATTAATTTTCCTTGTTGAACTTTGGAGGTATCTCCATTGTGGAATAGGATAAAAACTGCATCTATTTTTTTAAATCTCTATGAAAGACATAATAAATCCTTTCTCGACAAAAGAAATATGTGCCAATTGAGGCATATGGCTAGTCTCACCCAATGTATGTGCCTTGTACAGAATTGGAATCTGGGCCTCCACTCATTTCTTAAGAGCTGATAATTAGGAGAAACTACAAATGAGCTCAAAACCAAAAAAAAAAAAAGAAAAAGAAAAAGAAAAAGATAAAAGGGGCAGGAAATGATCTGCCCCTGAAGAATCAAGAATCGTGATGAGGACAGGGATCTTGTGCCTTGTCACTGTTTTCCCCTGCCTCTAGCACTGTGTCCCTGACAAAATAAACGCTTGTACAGTATGGTATAGATGAGGATGGTATAGATGATAAATGAGTGAGTAAATCATGCTCAAAGCCTCTTCCCCAAGCCACTGCTACAAGGTATCTAAGGGCCTTTCAGATCTCAGCTTTGTCTTAAGCTCTAAAAGATAAGGGACTAGTTAGGCTTCAAAATGTGGTGTCTACATGAGTGAATGAGTTTTGACAAGAAACAAATTTCTCTTCCTTAAATGGAACTCTGCTTCTCACCTGAGATAAAATAGACTGAAGTTTGAATGAGAAACCACAGAAGAGTTTCCGGTAAAGGTATCCATGATGAAATAGTTTCAGATACTATTGGACACCACCAATATCCCAACCTTGACCCATAAATTTCCTATTACAGAGTAACACCCCATGTTGAAAAGTTAAAGTGTACAGTAGAAGGCCAGGAATCAGGAAATCGGAGTGGAATGAATGGAACAAAGTGGAGGGGAATGGGATGGGATGGGATGAGATGACATAGAAGGAATGGAACTGGAACATGTAAAACTGATGACACCTTAAAGGCACTGTGTCTCTCTCTAACATGAGAATTTTGCAGTAGAGCATTACAAGTATTTTTGAGAGATCTGTTAAAGTACTGACCAGAAAATTTGCTCTAAGTAATTGGGCATTAGGATAGGTGTTATTTAACTGCTATTAAATGGAGATTTATTTAATGTTCTTGTACAAAGCCTGTGAAACCAAAGATATTTTAATTACTTCAACTAAGCATGCACCAAATTTGTTCCCTCTCCCACCATTCTTTGATCCTTGAGTTTGTGATCACTTGGGGAATTTGATTTATATCTAATCAATTTCATGAGATAAAACACTAACTAGAAAAATGCAAGAAACTAATCCATATTTCTTTCTGGAAAAGGGGATTTTTTCCATATAAAAGAACCATAATCCCTACTTTCCTTGATTCAGATAGATAAGTATTTTTATCATGTAAATACAGATTTTAATAGATTTTTATTGTTGTTTTGCTTATCCCAATTCACTTTGAAGCTTCGTCAAAAAACTCAATATGGATATTTTATTTTCCAAAGTTGATTGCAGCAAATATGACAATGAAATGGTCTCTAGTACTATATATTAAATTTTAAGGATGTATTTTCTGTGCTATACTGGGCAGAAAATGGCTGTTATATAAAATCACTTAAAGAAGCAAACAAGCTTTTGTAATTTGTTCTTCAGCAGTAAGTTTTCCAGCAATACACATACAGTTGTCTTAATAAAATGAGCCTCTGTTTTTATTTGATTTGAAATTTTATTTGAAAATGAAAAATGACTTTTTAACTTCAAGAAGTATGTTGAACAGGTCGATCTGATCAGTGTAAAGAATTGAATTCTATTATATTTGTTTGGAAATGTTTTACCTAGCCATCCTTATCCAAAAGTGTGCATAAGGTAATATAACCCAAAACACATGTGCAAGAATAACTTAAAATATTAAGAGGAAACAACCTTTTATATATTTGAAGTGAACAGATATGTTTTTGTTAGGGCTTTTTTTTTAGGCTAAAACATACAGTTTTTCAACCATTCCCCATATGTTGCAGTGTCAGCACCTGTTACGGACCGAATGTGTCCCCCCAAAATTCGTATGTTGAAATCCTAACGTCCAAGGTAATGGTGTTTGGAGATGGGGCATTTGGGAGATGATTAGGGCATGAGAGTAGAGCCTTCATGATGAAATTAGTGCCATTAGAGAAGAGACCCCAGAAAGCTGTCTTACCCCTCCCACCATGTGAGGAGACAATGAGAAGATGGTCATCTATGAAGCAGGAAGCCAGTCCTTACCAGACACCAAATCTGCTGGCATCTTGATCTTGGACTTCCCAGCCTCCAGAACTGTGGGAAATAAACACTTGTGGTATAAACTACCCAGTCTATGGTATACAGCAATCTGAAAGGATTAATATAGTACCCCTCCATTCTTTGTCCATACCTGAACATGCTCAGGTTTATAAATGACCCACTTAACGGTGTGTGAAACAAAAACCTGGCCACAGAACAATGGAAAACTGGTATGTCACCTTCCTTGTTCTGGGCACCATATTACTAGCATACGGGGCCATCTATTTATGTTGCCTTTCTGGCATCCCAAAATAGCTGTATAAAAAATTAATTTTATATTTTATTTTATTGTTGCTTATTATTGAGTGAATATGAAAATTAATATATATATAATATAAAGTGTCAAGATAACACTTTAAAATGTTTTAATGCGCTTTTCTTTTCCCCACATCTTTGTACGTCACATTTGCCCTTTTCAGCCAAAGGGTCATTGCCTTGAGGAGAGTAAGGATTTTTAAAGCTGGATTGCAAAGAGAAAGATGTCAGTTCAACCTTTAATTTCCGAAATAGGATCTGAAAATTGTGAGAATCAAGAATTTCATTTTCAAAAGCAAAGTTTTGGGGCAGGAGGAGAAGAAAGGACTTATGGGCTCCAAAGAGCCCAATTTAGGAGGCTCAGGTTTTAGTTGACCGTGAACCATTGAGCAGGTAGAACGCAGGATATGAATAAGAGTGGGAAAATAACATGGCATTTTCAGCAGCTGAGTCCTCCACTGGAACTCAGGAAACATCTCAATTTCCTCCAAAGCACATGCAGGCATGGATAGCTGGGATGGCAGGGGTTGCTACAGTGCTGTCCTCAAGTCCTCTCTGCCTTCACACACCATGCCTTCACATCTACAAATATAACTCAGAATACGTACTAGGCGATTTCCTAGTTCACTCTTTTCATGCTTAAAGGATAAATAAATCAACATAGTTTTTATACATAGATGTCTATGCTAGTGACCTGTATTGTTTAAACTAAATAAAACTCCTGCAATTTATTAAATCATGTATCTAAAGAGATCACCACCCAACTTGTTACAAGTGTTATCCATTTTCTTGGTTTTGTATTCCTGTCTTTAATTTCTAGTTTCATAATTCTAACCAAACAAAACTGCTTCTTAAGAAATGGATATATGTGATGTATGGTGTCTTCTATATATGTTTGGATTCCTTTCTGACCTATTTCCCCATGTTTGAGATTGCTACACATATTAGGTATATTTTTATGCTTATTATTATTACTTTTTAGTTGCTAAAAATAATCTCTCAATAGCATAATCTTGTCAATACTTCTGTGCCTGTCTTCTGCTGGCATGGGGGATTTAGATGCTATAGATATTTTTAATAAATTATTTTAATTTCTCCAGTTGTGAAAATAGTGTGCATTTTTTAGCTTATTTTTATGTTAACATCATCTTTTTGTGATTAATTCTTAATCTATTACTAGCATTTTCTCTTTCCTTGTTGTCATCTTATCCCACTTATTCTTTTCATTAAAACCTCATCGTTGTCTGCCTTTTGGCAGAGACATTTTAGCTTTGCATATTCCAAGTAGGTGATACTATCTAGCGTTATTTCTTACATACTGAATACTGCATAAATTTATCACCTCTAAGCAACTGGGCCAATATTGTTAGTTTTATTTATTTAGACTCCTTTTGTCTTAGTGTCTTAGTCAGTTCAGGCTGTTACAGTAAATTACCATAGACTGAGTGACTTAACAAACATTTATTTCTCACAGTTCTGGAGGCCGAGAAGTCCAAGATCTAGGTGCCAGCAGATCTGGCATCTGGTAAAAGCCAGCTTCCTGGTTTGCAGATGGTTGTCTTCTTGTTGTTTCCTCCCTTGGTGGAGAGTGGAGAGGGAGGAAGCAAGCTCTGCCCCATCTCTAAGGGCACTAATCCCATCCACAAGGGTGAAACCTCTCAAACTGCCTCCCAATACTATCACATTGGCTGTTAAGATTTCAACAAGTGAATTGGGAGTGGGGAGAGGACATAAGCATTCAGTCTGTAACACTTAGTTTAATGTTGAAATCCTCTCGTGACTTACAATGATGATTTCACTGTGTGCTACTTAATTTGCTGACTTCTTGGGATATTTACCAGACCTGCTAATCTAATAGATTAGTTATCTCTTGGATCTATTATTGAAGTGAGTTATAAAAGTCAGTTGATAGGATTCTCAACATGATTTCATGCGATAGGATTCTCAACATGATTTCATGCATACTGTAATAATAATAACCATAGTAGCAATAATAATAAATCTGAGTGTGCCTGGCCCTGTGCTAAATGCTCTGCAAACATCATCTCATTTAATCCTTCCGGAATCAGTATCACTAACCCACTCATCATATGAGAACACCAGCCCAGACACTAAGTGGCAGAGTGTGATTCAAACCCAGGTCCTTCTGACTCCAGAGTCTGTGCTCTGCCCTGTTTAACATTAGCTCCACGTGACCTGGCTGCCTTTCAGTCATGCTGACAATTTGGCTGAGCTCATCCTCTTCACTCTTGACTTCATGCATGACTTTTCTGTTTATTCTATTTTGCCATATAAAACGTTGTAGCATTTCTTTCAAACATATAAAATAAAAAACCTAGTGGGAGTTTTATGGCAAGAATTGAAATAAAAATTCAGAGTCACACCATCATTTGAACTATATTTTAAAATCCATACAATGTATTGACTTCCTTGGGTTTAAAGACATTTCTGTAATTTTTCCATATATGTACTTGGCCTTCTTTTAACTGTGCTGTTTGGCATGTAGGTGCCCCTAGATTTAGTTAACCAGACAGACAGAGTTACTTGACATTGTTTTATGGGAGCTTGTGTTCCTTGTTCTGGAAACAAAGGAGAAGATGACAAGAACCTTGAGTGGCACTTGTACCCCAATCCCCAGGCTTGCGCCACCAGGGAGGGCATACACAGACCCCCAGATGAAAGAGCAGAAAGAACTCTTGCTGGAGGACTGCGCAGAAATAGCTACCCCGCCCACCTGGGCCTCGGTCTCCCAAGCAGAGGTCACACTGTGTCCGTGTGCACATCTTGGCTGCTCCCTTGGTCCTGTGCAGCCTGTGACTAGCCAGAGCCTGGACTCTTAAACAGAAAAGCTTCTTCTAGCCCTTTTCCTTCCTCAGCATTGAGCTCTTCCTGGCTGGCCATTGGGCTCCTGTCATTGCCAAATTTTGCCCTCTTGGTAGGTCAATCGTTCCACCCTGTCAACGTGATTATGAGTTTCTGTAATCCAGTATTCTTACTTTTGTTTCATCTTCACAACTGTAAAACACATTTTCAACATCTTCACATAGATTTTACTTATAGTATTCCATAGGTCCAAAGATGGAGTTTAGAAGCATAGAAAAATTCTCCCTACAGGTTTAGCCTGAATAATTGACAGCTTATGGATACATTTGCATCAAAAAAAAAAAAACTCAGCAAGAATATGTTGTTTTCCTATGCCAGAGTCCCCGGTAACTGGGGGCTCTTTTAAAGTGATTGTTAGGCAATATTCAGGCATTTCTGAGTCTTCTGGACATGGGACTATCCACTAGTGCTAAAATTTTGCCCATATTTTAATACCTCCCTTATTATTCTGGCACTTAGCTAGAAAAAGCCATTGTATTTTTTCCCTTCATTTTGTCAATTCTCAGATTAAGGAGGGTTTTATCCATGCCTACGCATTCTTCTAACTCTCTGTATTATTTTATTGTCAGCTTTACTTCAGAGCCTGTTCTAGTGCGTGTTCATCAGAGAGACCTCAGGGATAGCTATATTCATTTTAAATTTCTGTGAGAAGAGTGTAGGCAAAAGGGATCACTATCCACCACTGATCTTTAGCCTTTTCTTCTTGGATCCATTTCTCTGTGTATGTGTCTCTGTCTCTCTGTGTCTGTGTCTGTGTCTGTGTCTCTGTCTCTGTCTCTCACCAAATCTGCTTGGACCACTGTTACCACCATCACTCCCAGTACTTCTGGCTCTTCCAGCTGAAAGAGAAATTCATTTCTCTTTCCCTTTGTTTTAAGAGAGATACTAACCTTCTCTCAACTCCTTTAACTCACCAAGCTCCTTCCTGCCTCAGGGCTTTTGCATGTGCTGCCCCTCTGTCTGGAACACTCTTTGTCCTCTGTCTCCATCCTGACACACATTTCACCGCTGCAGCCTAATTCTCCATCTTCCTCCTCTCCCCTCTCACCCTTCAGGTCTCTGCTTTCATGTCCCTTCCTCAGAGGGTCATTACTGGCCAGAACCCCCTTCCCACAGTCTAAATGACATCTGTCACTCTCAATCATATCATGCTGTCTTTTCCCTTCATACCTTCTATTACATTTCCAATCATACACATCTTTCTGTTTGTGTATTTCATACCTGGCTCTCCTGCTTCTCCTCTAAGTCCCATGAAATCAGAGGCTTGCTTACCATTGGAGCTACACACCCAGCCCAAGGCATTAAAAAGCCTGCAATTACTGTTTAACTAGATGAATGAATGAATGATTAAATGCTGAATTTTCTAGGAATACTTTCCTAGAAGACAGAAGAAAAAAACAGACTTGAAAATTCAGTACCTGAAGAGTTTAGAGAATCCTCTATCTTAATTTTACTGGCTGTCAAGTCTAATTAGCTTGCCTAGGTTGTCACATGGAGGAAAATAGTGCTAGGGTGACCAGTCAGCTCAGGGCTGTCTTGTCTATAGCACAGCAAGTCCCCCAGGCTAGGGAACCTTTCAGTCCCAGTACAGCTGAGATGGTTGGTCACTCAGCCTAGTATGATCCTTGTCTTAACTCCACCTGGGATGAAGAGAATAACAAATTTTTCTGACCTCTGAATGTTTTCTTTCAGCAACAAGATTAATTAATTTTTGCAGACTTCCTAGGTGTGCAAACATCTCTTCCCCTTAAATGCAAAGACACATTTTGGCTGGAAACAAAACCTGGGGTTGGGCTCTTATTTTGGTTGGTGTATTAAACTCAGGGACCATAAAATTCACTTTTGCCTGGAGTAGCTGTTGCTAAATATGGTACTATTTTTTTTTATATTGAGCCTGTACAGGGTAACATTTTTCTTCTTCCATATGTTTTCTTTCCACATGGACTTCAAGAATTTCTAGTCACTAATTACCTGGGTACACCTTTATTTGGGTTTCTCTGTGCAGGTGTTGTTAAGTTGTTTCTACAATAATTCTTTGGGAACTGTACAGTTATGAGAATTTTTCTTTGTTTTCTTCTTCTTTTCTTCCTACTTTCTTTTTCACTTCCTTCAAATTTACCTGTACCTTGGAGAACATTCCTCTTCTGCCAATCCTCTCTTGTCTTAAAGCCCAAATTATGGAATTTCTTGGGTCTGGCTAGCTTTACACTCTCATCTGCAAACCTATTTTCTATTTCATCCCATTGGTTGGTAATGATTTCCAGTTTGCTGCTTATTGTTTATAATATCCTTTTTATAATTCTTTGAAGCTTGTGAGTATAAAGAAGGGTTGATTCAAAATCTTCCTGTTTCTACATTTCTGAGAAATGCTTTGTGAACCATTTCTTTTCTCTGTCTTTCCTGTCTGCTTCCATTTTATTCCGTCTTATAATAGTAATTACTAATAATACCATTTGAAGGTGTCCTCTTTCATTTAGTTGCCTTTTTTTCTTTCCTGAATTAATGTATTAACTAGTCTACTTTTTTTTTCTTTAGAGGTTTGCTGGCCTTGTAACTCAGCAGCCCTCATGAGTCCTCCCCTACTTTGACTTTTAATAGAGTTCTATTTTTATAGGAGGAGACCCCACAAATTTGATTTAGGAGCAGCCTCACCTTTCTAAATGCAGACTGATAAAGTGGAATAATGTGATATGATACAGAGTCTGTCCAGAACTTGTGAGCAAAAAAATTCTGAGTTAGTTATCTGAAAGTCAGTAAATAGGAGCTGCGTGTGATAAGGTGCAAAAGAGAAGCACTTGGCTATCAGAAGAAGTGTTTCCAGCTCATGAATAATCAAATCAATAGGAAAATATTAATAACCAAGATAACCTGCAAACACAACAGACTCAGAGGTTTGGTGAGGTCTCATGATTCCTCCTTAAAACATGCCAAATGCGATTTTCACTGACTTCAAGAAACAGATACATGATCAGGAAACCTTTGAAAATGGGGAGCTTATTGGGAGGAGGTAGTAGCAACTCTGAGCTGATGCCTACCTATCCTGTCTGTCTGTCAGTCTATCTCTTCTGGGGTTTCTACTTTCTCTTCGTCTCTCCTATTCAACTGCCCTAGGCAGAGACAATCTTATAGGTCCAGACGATTGGCATCCAGAAGCAATTTGTCTGTTAGGCAGCCTTTAGCTCCAGCTGGTCCAATCCAAACAGCAGAATTTGTTCCACTCAAAGCATGAAGCTTTTATAAACCATTTTTAAAAATTGCGAAAAGGCTACTTTACTTGGAAGGGAGCTGCATAATTGGCACCTTGGAGGCTGTGTAAGGGAAAAAGTAAGAGTATGAGCACCTAATAAAACAAACAAACAAACTAAAAGTTCTGGCTGAATTAGAAAGGAAACAGAAGAGACTTTTTTGGATTTTTCCTGTGACATTTTCTGCCATCTTTTGCCTCCATGCCTTCTGCTTTGATGCATGAGGTTGAATTAAAAAGTCAATATTTGAACATTTTTCCTTTACAAATATGGCTTTTTCACTAGCTTTCATTTAATATCTATTACTTGAAATACCACTGGCTTCCTCTGCCAATTTTTGTATCCAAATCCTACTTATCCTTTAAGGCCCAATCCAAATGCCAATTCACCATCATGAACCCCACCCTCCTTGAGTCTTCCAGCTGAAAGGAACCATGCTGCCCTCCCAAGTCTCTGAATATTAATTTAACATGACCCTAATCACTGCCTTCGTTGTATTGTAGGTGTTCTCCTACATGGCTGATCTCAACTTCTAACCATGAACTTCATTTTTGAACCCACCTCCCCTTTTCCCCAATATCAACTAGCACCACATCTAGCAAAGAGTAAGGTCTTGTGGCAGACAGAATAATGACTCATAGGTTACCTTGCTTGGCAAAAGGGAATTGAGGCTTCAGATGCAATTAAGGTTTCTGATCAGGTGACCTTGAGATAGGGAGATCATCCAGGTGGGCTCAGCTTAATCACATGAGTCCTTAAAAGTGAAAGAAGAGCTGATCAGGGTGATGCAATGTGAGAAGGACTCAACCTGCCATGGCTAACTTTGAAAATGGAGGAAGGGGCTATGAGCCAAGAAATGCAGGCAGCCTGTAGAATCTGGAAAAGGCAAGGAAACAGATTCTTCTTCCCTTGAGAGTCCAGAAAGAACACAGCCCTGCCAATACCTTGATTTCTACCCGATGAGACCCCTGTCTGACTTCTGACCTACAGAGCCATAAGATAATAAATTTGTGTTGCTTTAAGCCACAGTTTGTGATAATTTGTTACAACAACCATAGAAAATAAATACGAAGTGCAATAAATATTTGTGTAATTAGCCAACAGCAGTTATTTTTTATTTCTAAACAAGAATTAAATCAACTCAAATTTCACAGGATCTCACATTTAGAAGATTTTTATTTATGGAGATGAATAGGAATATAAATCTTCTTTCTTTTCATTAAAACACACATTCAAATTTTTTTTAATGTTTGAGAAAGGAGAAAGATCATTCACAGAGAAGATGCTGCTTTCATTTTTTTTCTTCTTTTCCATCCCTGATTATAGGCACGTACAATTTTACACTGAAATAATAGTGATAGCAGAAGTATAATTATTTATCTTTTACATTTAATATTGTATAATAAATGTTTTTCTTAGTTCTGTGTAGTCCTCAAAATTGTCATTATAACCATTGCCTTATGTTTATTCAGTTGGGATACCAAAATTCACTTCTATTCCTATTCAGGGATCATTGGGTTGTTTCAAGAATATCTCCTTACACTTAAAGAAAATACTAAAATTGATTTTTGTCTTCATTTAGCTTTTATTTCCTGCTGAGTTACTGCACAGCAGATTTCCGTAACTGAGATAACTGAGAGAAAGGGTCGGAGTGGTAGTCATGGTGCTTGATAGCTGTCACTGGGGTGTCACCAAGGAGAATGTACAGAATCTCCCATTTCACAACAGTCTTTGTCAGCATTTTGGAGTTTATCATAGTTGTTTTTATTTGCACTGCTTTGATTCCTAGACAGGAGTAACATTTATCCATTTGTTATATTTCATTAGTTCTGTTATTATTGAGCAAAATATGCTTACAGCCTTTGCTCATTTACCTGTTAGGGACTTGATGGTTTTCTAATAAATAACACTTTTAAAACACCCTTTAGAAAATGCAGTTCTTAACTTTCTGTCAAGTTTATATACATGTGTTTTTCATCTAGCCTGCTTTTTAATTTTAGCTATGAAGGTTTGTATTTGTTTGTTTGTATAATTTGAGGGGAAAATTCAACCAAACTAAAAACATCAACAACAAAATGAAACAACGTTTATGTTATCTAAGTTCCATGAAGTAGACTAGGCAACTCAGAATAAATTTTTAAAAGTTTGGAGTATTGTGTGAATAACCTATCCATGGTGGCTTTAATTTTAATCTGTTAACTGATTATATAACATATAACATTAAGAGCAGTTTATTATTTGTGGCAAAATTTCTGTAGCTCGTTTAATTTTCCTTTATCTCCTGACAAAACTGTAATTTGAAAATGAGCAAAAACTTAAAATTAAATCAATTCAAGAAAAACCAACCTCTACTTCTTCCTTAACATTTTTCTGATTATAAAAATAGTGTAAGTTTATTTTATAAAAATTTAAAATGACAAGAAAGAATTTTAAAATAAACAAATTTCAACTCTGACTCATCATCTAGAAATAATTCCTGCTACACTAAGGCATATTCTCTTTCAGTCTTTTTGCCAACTAGGTGTGTGACTACATACGAATTTCCACAAATTTTTGATTATACGATTTTGGATCATACTATTTAATCACTCATTATTTTTGGATGACATTTTTCCCATTTAATTAAATACTTTTGAACCAACTGTATCATTGAATAACATAATCTACATGTACTAATTGGGTTCTACCTTAGAAGCAGTTTGAACTGAAGTCTTGCAGGAAGTCCTGAAGGAAGTCTTCTCATCCGTTAGTAGAAGTATGAATCCAGTTTTTTTGCCCATGGTTCTGAGATCACATATGTGGAGCCTCCCGGGAGCAGCTGACAAGAGTCTTCTAATGGAGGACCAAAGGTCTCCCTGTGGCTACTCCATGTCACGCACCCCTGTCCACCTCCTGAAAGTCCACGCACATTGTGTTCCAAGGCACTGCTTATTTTTAGGAGATGTTTTCCTCTTGTTTCTGCAGCTGTTTTTAATCACAAGCTTTGGGCACTACATCCCAAGGAAACCGTGGCAGAGACAAAGGTGTAAAGAAGGAAGAGAAAAGGCACTTACCAGAACCATCTTACACACCCTGTTGATGGAAAGGAAACAGCCACTTCACATGTACTACTGTGCTGTGAACAGAAAAGCAGAGGAGGCAGGGCCAGAAAAACTTGATGTAAGTCCCCACATTGCCATTTAATTGCCAGCTGGGTAACCTGAGGGAAATCCCTTAACTGAACTTTAATCTCCCCCTCTGTATAAAAATAAATACACCACTAAATTATAAGGGTTAAGTGCTTATGGAAAACTGCTTTGTAAATTATAATGACCATTTCTGTACCTTGAGAATAGAGGGAGAAGGAACTTATTTGGCTTTTATTTTTTATTCATTGTACTTTTACAAATTATCAGCAACAAAATGAACCAACACATATATATCTGAAACTCTAAAAAGGAGATTAGATAATTCAGAAGGAATTGAAGCTTTGAGGAAAGCTACACTAGAAGCTGTAACAAATCCCCAAATTCCATTGGCCCAGCACAATAAAAGTTTTGTAGCTCTTGGGAACATCCAGCACAGGGGTTGCTGGTTGGTAGGCAGTCTTCCAGGGACCCGGGCTCCTTCCATGTTGTGGCTCTGTCCTTGTCCCCTGCATTCAGCCAGCAGATGAGGAAAATGAGAGGCGGGGAGAAGGCACATGTCTGCTTCTCAACCGCCACAGCCAGAAAGTGACACCCATCAATTCCACTCACATTCCGTTGGCAAGAATGGATTTCATAGCACACTTCACCACAAAAGAAGCTGAGAAATGCAGCCTCGGTTTGGTGAGCAGCTTTGCAGCCTGCCACATAGATTAATATAATTAGTAGAAGGAAATAAATGCCAGGAATAGATGCTAGGATGGAGAATTATCCTACTTGGGCTAAAACTGAATGATATAGTTTTCTTTGTGGAAGTATAGTCTTGTTAACAGCACACTGTTATATACTCTCATAAGTGGATATTATTATAGCATCCTTCTTTTTTTTTATTAAAGTGTAGTTGATGTACAATATTGTGTTAGTCTCAGGTGTACAGCATAGTGATTCAGTTTTTTTTCTGATTATATTCCATTATATGTTATTATAATATATTGAGTATAATTCCATCCTAATATGGAAAAAAATTCCTAAGTCAGGCTGCTGGCTCAGATCCGGCCTCTGCCTCCAATAGCTGTGTGGCCTTAGGCATGTTATCTAGCCTCTCTGGGCTCCTGATTTCTTATCTGTAAGGAGGGAGTAAAGAGCTATAAAGCTCTTAGTATTGTGCCTGGAACACAGAGGGTGCCCCACACATATTAGTTCTGTGACCATCATCACCAAACCTTCCTCAGTCCACCTCACGTCATTCACCTATAACAACCCCTGCTTGAATGTGCAGTTCAGAGAATTGGGCAAAGAATTTGTTATTCAAATAAATAACTTTTCCTGAGTGCACTAGCTGTGAAATCTGCCAGTGAGGATGTGCGAAGTGTGATTATTTTGATGATGGGAAATTGGAAAGAGAATGTTCTAAATCATGGCTTGCCAATCCTTTTCATAGTCAAATATAATATTAATAGATATCATTTATTAAATACCCACTTCTGTGAAAAGTGCTAAACTGGGCTTTTGATAAATTCACTTTCATCTAATTCCCCATCAAGTAGGTGTTACTGACACCTGTTTTACAGAATGAACAGCAATAACAATGAAGATGAAGATCAGAGGCGCTTGTAATTTGCCCAAAGTCATACGGTTGATAAATGGCAGAGTCAGGATTTGAGTCCAGGTCTGCCCAGCTCCAGGTCTAGTCTCTGCCCAAGGGGCACGCTACTGCCCGTGTTCCTTTAACGGGGTTCTTTCCTGAATGTGGCAGGAAAGAATCACAGTATTCTCATGACACTTCATTGTTTTCAAATTTCATGCTATCTTCTGATGCTCTCATATCACCCTGGGAAGTAAGCAGGGCAGATGTACTATCCACATTTGACAGAGAGGAGAAACTAAGACTCAGGGACGCCTCCCTGTGTTGTGTGAGGGAGTCAGTAACAATAACAGCAAGCATGTCCTGAACACTAGCTATCTACATAGTGAGAAGTACTTTGTGTACATTTCTCATTGAGTGCCCTTGAAACTTCAAGAGGTGAGTGCCTTTATTATCCCCGTTTTGCACATGCAGGAACTAGCACTTAAATATTAGAATCCTGTGCTAACCAACCAGCATACAATGAAGGAGACAAAATTAAAACCTGTTTCAAACCTGAGGAGACTGATAAATTCTGCCTACCATGCCCGCTGTCTGGAAGAAAAGAACAACAACAACAAAACCACTCACCCATTCAGTAAGTATTTCCTGAGCATCTACTCTGTGATGTGTGGCAGGACCCAGGCAGACAATGGCCCTGCTCTCATGGAGTGACAGGTTAGTAGGAAAAGATAGATGATAAACAAGGAAACAAATTGGTTAACAATATACTTTCGGATAGAAATAGTGTTATTGAGGACATAGAACAGGTTAAAGGGGTAGAGGATGACAGGGGTTGGTAGACAAGGTGGTGATGTTTGGCCAGGTGCATCCAGCATCCAGCCAAGCAGACCTCTCCAGGAAGACATCCCAGTCTAAGCAAGCAGTGAGTGTATTGGCTTTGAGGTGTAACAAAACTTGATGTATTTGGAGAAGAGTAAGAAAGCTGGAATGACCATAGGTTATAGCTAACAATACAGTAACACCAGAGCTGGGAACAAGGAGACTCAAGAATGGAAATGCAGACATCCTAATTATAAATACTAACAAATCAAATCCAGAGTATATTTTTAAAAAATATTTTGTCCAAAAAGAGCTTATCCACAAGGCAAAGGACAATTCAATAGTAGAGAAATTCATCCTGTAATTCACCATGGAGATGACATAATAATAATTATCTCAATAAATATAAGAAGCATGCAATAAAATTTAACATTCAGAATGAACTTTTTAAATCTCAGGAAGTCAGGAATGGAATGTAAGTTCTCAGCATAAAAAAAGGCTATCTATCAGAAATCATCCACAGTGAAGTACTTAATGGTGAAATCTCAGAAGCATTCCCACTAAAGATAAGGGCAAGACAAGACCAGGTGCTGTCATTGACATTAGGCATTATTGCTCCAGAGGTCAAAAGACGAGGAAAAGAGAGACAAAGCTTAGAAAAAAAAACCAAAAACCTCACTGTTTGCAGGCAATATGATTGACCCACCTTAAAAAAAAAAAAAAAAACGTACCAGGAACGATACAACCTAGGAGACGTCGA